AATGGTTTTGATGTGACAGTCAGTCTGCCTTTGAGAAACAGTCACTGCTGAGCCAGATGAGGAGAGAAAGAGAAACACCTAGAGAAAGAAATGAGACCGATAAGAAAAGAGATGTCCCACAGTCAAACTAGCATCCGTGAGTGGAAGTGAAAACTCAGCTGATGTTCTGACGTAAACCAGACACACAAAGCCAGAAATCACGACACTACTATCAAAAAAATTAACCAATGAGGCGCCTGAATGACAATCATGCTTTGAGTCCTTCCCACGGCAAAACCTGACATGAGACAAACCGTGATCTGGCCCTGCATGTGTTTGAATGTGTGTGTGTGTGTGTGTGTGAGAGAGTGTGTGAGAGAGTGTGTGTGTGTGAGAGTCTGTGTGTGTGAGAGTGTGTGTGTGTGAGTGTGTGTGAGTGTGAGTGTGAGTGTGAGTGTGAGTGTGAGTGTGAGTGTGAGTGTGAGTGTGAGTGTGAGTGTGAGTGTGAGTGTGAGTGTGAGTGTGAGTGTGAGTGTGAGTGTGAGTGTGAGTGTGAGTGTGAGTGTGAGTGTGAGTGTGAGTGTGTGTGTGTGTGTGTTTGCATGTGTGTGCGTGAGTGTGTGTGTGTGTGTGTGTGCGTGCGTGTGTGTGCGTGTGCGTGCGTACCTCTTGGGCCTCTCGTTCAGGCTGGTGCTGCGCGCTCTGAAGCTGCTCTGCTCGTGAGTGTCATCGAATGGCAAAAGAGCGTTTGAACGGAGACCCTAATCACACAAAAACACACCTCAACTCAAGACCAACAGATCGATCTGTAAACACATGAGCCCGACAATCCCATCACCCACCTTGGTGATGTACTGAACAAAGTCTTTCCTGAAAGGCAGTCTGCAGCGTATGAACCACATGGCGATCACATGATGGGCTAGAGACACTATGTACTGATTAAACCTACAGAGAATGAAGGAAAAACAAGAAAACATAATTTAAGATCATTTATTTGATTAAAAAACACAATAAAATCAGTAACATTGTGAAATATTATTACAGTTTAAAGTAACTGTTCTCAATTTGAATATATGTTAAAATGTAATTTATTCCTTTCATGTAAAGGTGAATTTTCAGCATCATTACTCCAGTCTTCAGTGTCACATGATCCTTCAGAAATCATACTAATATGCTGATTTGCTGTTTAAGGAAACATTATTATCAATGTTGAAAACAGTTGTGCTGCTCTGCTTCATATTTTTGTGGAAAAGTCTTTGATGAACTAAAAAGTTCAAAAGGACGGCATTTATTTGAAATAGAAATCTTTTGTAACATTATAAATGAACATCAAGTAGTCAAATAGCTAATGAAGGCAAACGTTGGCTACATATTCTGTACGTGTGAGTTCACAGGTGTGCATGAGCTCACTCACTTTGAGGGGTTGGTGTACGGCAGCGATATGGCAAACACACTGACGTACTGCTCGGCTACAAAGTTAGCATACAGATGTGGGAGCCGCACCAATGCTGAGAGAGAGAGAGAGAGAGAGAGAGAGAGAGAGAGAGAGAGAGAGAGAAAAAAAAAAAATTGTATTGAGAGAGAGAGACAGGTGACAGCGTCAGCAGAACTAAGGGTGTGTGAATACCTGGGTCTGTCTTTCTTCAGGTCAACTCATATAATCATGAAAAAATCAGTTTGCCATCAGTTGTGAGAAGATGAAAGCGATATCTATGATTCAGTGTAAACACTATGCTTTGGCAATACATTGTAACAATTGTCATGCCATTAAAGCACAAACGCGACACACCAATATTGAGAGAGAGAGAGAGCGAGAGAGAGAGAGAGAGAGAGAGAGACGAGACAAAAAGCATCAGTACTTGAGCTGCTGTATATGATCCACAGGTGTTGTTTTGCTGTGGTTGTATCCTCAATGTAGAATTTATGCTATATTCTGATTGGTCAGACTCAGAGTGAGTAGGGCGGCTCTGATTGGTCAGAATGTGAGAATGGGCAGGGAAACCAACTGAAGGCTTGCACTCACTGGACAGGAACTCCAGCATGGGCGAGGCCATGGCAACGGTTGCCGAGATGTGCGTGAGCTTGACGATGAGGGCGGGCAGGAGTTTGATCATGATGTCGGGCATCTCAACGGTGCACATGGTCAGAGCCACCACACACTGCTTAGCACAGCGGTAAATCAGGCCTTTCTCCAAACACTGGACCAGCTCCCTCTGAGAAAACAGGTGAAGAAAATCTCTGCTGTCAACACATTTATCCAATACATTCCTAGATGCGCATCAGATGATTGGCTGCTATCACCTCCAGAGATTAGATCTGCTGCCGACTGCTTTATTAATTAATTAAAGTGTAAGAATAAATTCAAGTAAATGTATTCTTACATTAAATTTATTAATACACTTTAATTTTTTATTTAGTTTCATTTAATAACACATTAAGTAAATCATTGCTTAATTCAAATTTAACAACAAATTTAAATAAACATATTTAATTTAAATTATAATTATAAATTATATATAATTTATATAATTGTACATTTAAATATGTGTACTTTAAATGTAACAATAAATTAATATTTAATTTAAATGTTTAAATGTATACTTACTTTAAATTAATTAAATGTAAATAATGTAAATATTTAATTTAAATGTAATGCATTTAAATACATTTATAATTTAAATGTAATAAATTCAAATACATTTATTAATAATTGTATACTATTTTAAGGGTAATAATACATGTACATAATTGTATACTTAATTTCAATTTAATAATACACTTGAATAAACATGTTTAATTTAAATGTAATAAATTTAAGTTAAACCTATTTGATTTAAACATTTACATAAATTAATTATTAAAGAACATGTAAATAAATTTATATTTAATTAAAATTTAATAATAAATTTGTATAATTGTATGTTTATTGTAAATACAATAACACATTTCAATAAATTCATATTTAATTTAAATGCGATAATTGTACATTCAATTTAAACGTAATAATACACCTAAATAAATTCATACTTAACTTAAGGTAACTTACAAGGTAACACAGTTTTGCTTCTTATTATTTCAAACAGCCTTCGGAGTGTGCCTATGATACTGTCTAGATCACTAGGGTTTAGAACACAGCCCTAGCTAAAATTGATCAAATCTGACAAACTCTAAAACAAACAAACTGATGTTTATATTCCGCTCTGATCTGGATAGCGGGGTAGATGTGTTTGTGTCACCTGTCGGGACTGCTCCAGGTAGCTGTGGTAGGAGGTGAGGGCAGTGAGAACAGGAACCACAGCGAGCTGAACATCAGTGAGGGAGAATCCATCAGGAGTTTTCTTCAAACGCTCCGATATCAGACGGTCCGTCACCTGCACACACACACACTCTCCCAAATTACCTTGCTTCCATACAGTTTATTCCACTGAGTTACTGTGTAGTACAGAGGTGGCCAAAATTATTAGAACACTAGTATTTTCACCAGCTAAATCTTTTCTATCTAGCTTATCAGTTTGCATTTCCAAACATTCATTTTGCCATTAATTGTAATAATCCAGTGAATTTTTAGTCTGACAACAGCCAGTGCTGCACACAGAGATCTGATCTGATCATCAGGTCTCTTGAAGCATCTTGGAGACAGCCACAGTTCTTCTGGATTTAGTCTGTTTCAGTTTGTTCTGTTTCTTCATGCCACTCCAGACAGACTGATGTGATCAGATCAGATCTCTGTGTGCAGCACTGGCTGCTGTCAGACTCAAATCTCACTGGATTATTACAATTAATGGCAAATTGAATGTTAGGAAATGCAAACTGATATTTTCTATTGACACACTACAGCAAAAGATAGAAATAACTGACTTAAAACCATTTTTTTAGCTGCTGAAAATACTAGTGTTCTGATCATTTTGGCCATCACTGTAAGTGTGTGTTTGTCTGTGTGTGTGTGTGTGTGTGTGTGTGTGTGTGCAGGGTGAGGTCAGGACCAGAACTTTGTACTGGATGGTGCAGGACATCTTATCCAGAACCAGCTTCAGAACCTTCCAGTCATTCTCCTGCAAATGAAGCAAGGAGCTGATGTTTTACCTTTCACACCGCGGTAGTTATATTTGCGCACACAGATTGTGTTGTATTTGAACCGTATGTTCGAGGAATGCAAAACCACACGGCACCGTGTTAAAAATATGGTACATAAATACAGTACCATGACATCAATCATTTTAAAGGGAAGAGGATGTGAGCTGTGTGTGTTTGTGTACCATCTTGAGGCACTGTAGCAGCACGCTGAAGGCCAGGCTGTAGGGCAGATAGGCAGTGCGAATGGAGGAGGGCGGAGCTGCTGGTGTGGGACTTCCTGTCGGCGGTGACACAGTTCCTGTTGGCTTCTTATCAGTCACTCTCTTCTCCGACTCCCTGAAAACCAGACATTTGAGATTTAGTCAGTCTGAATGTTCTACTTAATAATTTATACTTAATTTTGACAAATGTAAATAAATGTATACATTTAAATATAATAATACATGTTAATTTAATTTAAAAATATATTTAAATATATTTATACTTTCTTTACATTTGATAAGAAATATAGTATTATAATCTGAATATCCTCTTTAATTTATACTTACTTTAATATTAATAATAAATGGAATTAAATGTATACTTCATTTAAATTTAATAAAAAAAAGTTTTTTAAAATGTATTTATATTTCATTTAAATTTAATAAATTCAGTCAATCTGAATATTCTCTTTAATAATTTCTAGTTTTAATATTAGTCATTTTAATAATCAATTTAAATGAATGTTTACTTCATTTAAGTGTAATGTTACATTTTAATTTAAATAAAAATTTAAATACATTTATACTTTTTAAAATGTAATGATACATTTTAATTTAAATCTTATAAAAAAAATGTTAATAAATGTATTCTTCTTTTAATCTGAATTTAATAATATATTTACATACATTTATACTTCTTTTAAATTCAATAAGACATTTTAGTTCAATTTAAATTTAATAGTACATTTAGTCAATCTAAATATCCTCCTTAACAATTAATATTTAAATTAATATTGATAATAAATGTAAATCAATTCACACTTTATTTAAATTTAATAAAACATTTTTATTTAAATTTTAAATAAATGTATATACATTTATACTTTAAATGTAGTGCTGTCAAATGATTAATCGCGATTAATCGCATCCAAAATAAAAGTTTTTGTTTGCATAATATATGTGTGTGTACTGTGTATATTTATTATGTATATATAAATACACACAAATACAGTATATATTTTGAAAATATTTACATGTCTATATTTATATTCATATAATTTATATTATAAATAAATATATTTAATATCTAAAAATAACATTTTTCTTAAATATATACATGCATGTGTGTGTATTTATATATACACATAATAAACATACACAGTACACACACATATATTATGTAAACAAAAACTTTTATTTTGGATGCGATTAATCGCAATTAATCGTTTGACAGCACTATTTAAATCTGATATCATTTAACATCCTCCTTAATAAGTGTGCTTAATAAGAAAACAGCACTAAGCACACATGCTTGTGTTCTTACCCGACGTCACAGTGACAGTATGGGCTAAATCTCAGGACTCCATCTTTATTGGGGACACCCAGACGATGAAGAGAGTCGGCCCTCATCATCAGCAAGAAATCAAAGACCTGACACACAAACAATGAGAGAAAACAACATGCTTGCCTTTTCTGAAGCCCAGGTGATTTGAAAAGGTTACGTATTCGGAGTATTTGGTTGCTAGGGTGTTTGCTATGGTGTTGCTGACTAACTGGAGTCAAAAGCCTGACCTTGAGGCGTATGGAGCTCCCGGTGGCACTGTAGTATTTGTTCTTGTAGTGAAGCTGCAGATGAGAAATCAGCAGCTCGTACACTCGACTGGCGTGACTGGCCGGCAGACTGTACAGTTTACTCTGGAAACAGACACAGCATCACTGGAGCTGCTAGAGAGCGTAACCATGAGCGCACTGAGCAGAAGAAGTACTGTAGTACCTGTAGGATGTCTAGCAGTCCCAGTATAGCGGTCCGGACGTCCTCCATGGGCGACTCCACTGACAGCTCTCTCTCTCCCTCCATAGAGCAGGTTAACGGACGACTAGCAACCTACAGGAGCACAGGAGACTTTCACTCACACAAATCAAGTCTCGTCCCTTGTTTGGGGATTTTACATAAAAATGCTGGATTAAAAAAAAAAAAGTTAAAGAAATGTTCTAAATGTGAATGAAAAAAAATTACGCTCAATTGAGTTTGATCATTTTTATTTGGGCATAAACTACGATGGAAACACATTTAAACTACTTATTAATCCATGCTTTATTAATATTTATTAATATATTAAAAATACATACTTCATTTAGATTAAATAATACATTTTAATAATTCCATACTTTTTAATTTGTGTGTACATTAATGAGGAAAAAAAATTAACTTAAATGATTTTAGCAAATGGCTGCAATATAACAAAGAGTGAAAAATTTAAGGGGGTCTGAATACTTTCCGTACCCACTGTATATATATATATATATATATATATACATATAAATAAATTGAAATGTATTCAATTTAATAATACATTTAAATAAATCTATACTTTATTCACATTTAATAGTAATCTATACTTAAACGTAATAATGCATCCAAATAAAACTATGCTTAATTTGAAGGTAATGTTACATTTAAATAAATCAATACTTATATTTAACAATAAATTAAAATAAATCTATTCTTAATTTAAATCTGATAATACATTCAAATAAGTGTGAACTCATTTATCACATTAAATAAAAATCACAATGGCTTCCACATTGGCTTTACCTTTTTAATTTGCACAAATTTCTCAGGAAGTGTCTATTTTGTTCTCTTGAATACAACGGCTGCTGAATTACTGCTAAACAGTTAATGACCTGTGTCTCTGTGGAATAGGCAGCCAATGGAAGAAGTGATGAATGATTTATATCTTGTTTTAAAAGCTTTTGTTAAATCAAATTAAATTCTTAAGAATTATAGTTATCACATTTAACAACTCAATATTCCCTTAGATATGCTTGAATAAATCAACTATTTCAGGGCTATATAAAGGACCTGCAGAAATGGTGGAAATCTAGATTCCCTTACGCATGAACAATTCCGGTTTTTGAATTTTAAATTGAAAATTTCAAACAGGAGAAAAATGGAATGCCTGCGCTTCCGTCAGTGACATCATGAGCGAGCAGCGCTACCTTCTCGATGATGTCGAGCAGGCTGCTGAAGTGATGCGTGCTGCAGCCCTCGGCGAGATCCACCAGCAGCTGCGTGGCTTGTTTCCTGACGGACAGATCTCGATCTTCAGCGATCTGACCCAGCTGAGGAATCACCACCACCTCGATCAGCTCCTCCTGGTCACAGAGAACACAGACGATCAAGACAAACAACAGCGAGCTCATGAACACAAGGAAAGGCCTGACTGCTGTAGGACTGACTTCATAGAGCTGTCGGTTTGTGCTGAGCACGAAGGACAGGATGTACAGAACCTTGATCCTGATCACAGTACGGCTCTCATTCCTGACACCCAGAGAAAGAGAGAGAGAGAGGTGTTATTCCCAGGATTCGTTTAAAACGGGACTTTAGTGAAAATGATGAATCATCCAGACCTGAAGAACTTCTCCATGAGTTTGAGCAGGTTCTGCAGCCACCCGTCTTTGGCCGGCTGAATGGACTGAGCTCTGTAGGAAATCAGCATCAGCACAGACGCATCCTACAGGACAGATTCAACAACAGCACATCAAACCAAAATAATGCATTTCATTTAAATACATACGAAGAGCTTCTTTGCAAAAACAGTTTAAAACTGATTTTTTTTATCATGTTTTTTTATTATGTTATCTTGTTTTTATTGTGTTTTATTGTGTTAGTTAGCTGTATTTTTTATTTATTTTTAACCTAATCAAAATAACCCAACTGCAGTTTGATTGAGATTAATTGGAATGCACAATGAAAAAACATGATTTTTGAAAAATGTTAAAAACAGAGTTATCTGTTTCTGCAAATGAACTCTTCATACATTCTTCCTTTACACTGAATAATACATTTAGTCCATGATAATATCCTCCATTTATACATAATTTAATTGTATTATACATTTAAATAAATCTATACTTCATTGAAATGTATAAATGAAATTTAGCAATAAATTTAAATACATTTACACTTTCTTTCAATTAAATAAATTCAGTCTGAATATCCTCTTTAATTTATACTTAATTTTAATAATGAATTTAAAGAAATACTTCATTTAAATGTAATAATACATTGTAATTTAAATGTATTAAATTTAAATACATTTAGTCAATCTGAATATACTCCTTAATTTATACTTAATTTAATTTTAATAATGAGTTTAAATAAATGTATATTTTAATTTGATTTTAATGTCAAAATAAATTTAAAACACATTTTAACTTTCTTTCAATTTAATACATTTAGTTAATCTGAACATTCTCAATCTATACTAAACTTACTTTTAATAATAAATTTAAACAAATCTATACTTCATTTAAATTGAATAATACATTTTAATTTAAATTTAGTCATAAATTTAAATATATTTATACTTTCATGAAATATAATCATACATTTCTGAATATCCTCCTTAATGTATATTTAATTTTAATAATAAATGTATACATCATTTAAATTAAATTATACATTTAATTTAATAACAAATTTAGTCAGTCTGAATATCATCCTTAATTTATACTTAATTTAAATTGAATAATAAATTCAAATAAATATATACTTAATTTAAATGTAATAACACGGTTTAATTAAACTTTTAATACGACATTTAAATAAATTAATACATTCAAGAAGGGTGAATCAAACCAGACAGCTTCAGAAGAGGACAGATGGACAGGGAGCGAGTGAAACTCACGGGACGTTTATCGGCGCATTTCTCCACCAGGCTGAAGAATCTCTGCGAGGATCCGTGGAAGTCGTTCTGCTCGTACAACTCCTCGACGGTGCTCAGTAACTCATAAACGATCACCTTCAGATCAGGACTGCCCATCATCTACACACACCACATATATGAAGAGCGTCAGGAGACAAACACCCATAAAACATCTCAGTGTGTGTGTGTGTGTGTGTGTGTGTGTGTGAGAGAGAGAGTTTCAAATTCTTACATTTGGTCTATAAATTCAATTATAATAATGTGATTATCCATACGTTATCAAATTAAATAATTTACACTGAAAAATACAACTGCATTAATATTATAATAAATAATATTATATTAATTATTTTAAATATTTTTGAATATACAAACAAGAAATGGTGGAAATGATACTTTTCAACGAAATTAAAACGCCAGTAGGTGCCAGTAGTGAGCGTTTAATGAGTGAGTAATTGAGTCGCTCATTCAAACGATTCGTTCAAACGGCAGATTCATCAGATGTTTATGCATGGGCTAATGAAACTTTGACTCAACCGATTCGTTCAAAACACGGAATCAATCAGCAATGAATCGGCTGGTTGCTGTGAGATGCGCTGTTTCCGCCTAAAATGTAAGTAACCTAATATTATTGTATTTGCTTATTGAACTGTTTATAGAACTATTAAACCGTCGTAATGGTGAAAACGTTGTGTGATGTTGCCTAACTAACTGTACGGACGGCCCCGGCCCAATTTAAACCCTGTGTGTACCTGTATCTGCTGCAGGAGTTTCTCTATGATGGACAGCAGGATGTCCCATGTCACAACGAGCAGCTCTCGGCCGTACTTCTTGATGAGTCGCGTGATCGACAGCACAATCTCATAGAACACCACCTCATTCGTGCAGCTCATGGCCTGGGCACAGAGGTCAGAGGTCAAACACTAGTAGGTTTCATAATATATTTCTAAAAACACAAACTGATGGCAAATTAGCACACACCTTGTAGAAGGAAGGCAGGACCAGAGTGGGCGTGTTTTTAAGGGCAGGAAGTCTGTGAGCTCCCCACAGCGCCATACCAACAAAAAACACAGCACCCCTGAGAAGAGCGGCGTCCTCACTGTACACCCTACACCAGACACACACACACACCATACACACTACTGAGAACACTAGATCCATCAACATCACAATAATTCAGCAGTTCATGCCAACACCAGTGACTCTCAATCCTAATTTCAATACTAAAGCAAAAAAAAATGCTAATAAATGTTTGCCTTTGTTTAAAAGGTTAAATATTAATATAATTTTGCGATTGGCATTACATGGCATTACATTTCACGATTTCAATCATCATAGAGTAACCAGCAACAACCACCTCTTCCTCTTCTCATCGGAGACATGAGATGCAGTGCTAAACAGTCTCTCGCTGTCGGTGCTTGTAATGATTTTTGAGTCTTTCTCGGACACTTTTAAATGCTTCCACACTGCAGACGTGTTTCCTGCATTAGTGCGCGCCTCTATTTGATCACGTCACATCATTGCTCGGTACAATTTATTCGGTCTTTTCGCTTATTCAGCCGAACACCGAAAGAGCATTTTTGCACTCTATTTTCGGAAATACTAATGAAAATCTACCTTATATAAAAGCTTAAATGTTTTATTTAACAAATATTTTAATTTTTTTCAAGTATATAACTACTGTTATTATTATTATATTTATAGCCTATTGACTCTCTAACCAATCACAAATCTGTCTTCTGTCGTTATAAGTCAGTGTGTACCTCTCCTCCATGATACGGCACATGGTGTATATGGCACTGTGACCCAGGTGAGTTCCCAGCACTTTACGCATCAACTAGACACAAACAGACAAAAACAACAACAGAGAGGTCAAAGCATGGTTATGAACCGCACCATAAATGTGATATATTAAACTTGGCTGAATACTTCTCTGTGTACCTTCCAGCAGGATTCACAGAACTCCTTCACGTTAACGGTTCGGCACAGTGTGATGATGAACACCGTCAGAGAGTCGGAGGGCAGGCAGTTATAACACACCACCGCGTCTAACACCTGCAGCGCAACCTACACACACACACACACACACACATACATGGATAAACAGATTCAGCTATCACTGCTTTTATCATAATCCTGAAAGACTGAGTCAAACACCACTTTTTTTTACCTCGATATCTGTGGAGGAAGTCGTCCGGTTACACAGAAGGCAGATTTTCCTGTGAGAAACAAATCAATGAAGTTAGTGCATGGGAAAACTCTTATATGTCCTTTTCCTTCACTATTTTGACCGAACCAATTTTTTTAAATAAAAAGAAATTCATACATAGACAAATTTACACCAGCATTCAAAAGTTTGGGGTCAGCAAGTTTTTGAAAGAAGTCTCTCATGCTCACAGAGGCTGCATTCATTTGTTTAAAAATACAGTAAAAACACTAAAATTGTTACATATTATTCTACTTCAAACTACTTTAAAATGTAATTTATTTCAGTGATCAAAGCTGTATTTTCAGCATCATTTCTCCAGTCTTCAGTGTCACACGATCCTTCAGAAATCACTCTAATATGCTGATTTGTGCTCAAGAAATATTTATATTTTTATCAATGTTGAAAACAGTTGTGCTGCTGAATATTTTTGTGGAAACTGTGATACAATTTCTCAGGATTCTTTGATGCATAGAGAGTTCAAATGAACAGCATTTATTTGAAACCGAAATCTTTTGTAACATTATAAATGTCTTTACTGACACTTTTGATAAATTGAATGCATCATTGCTGAGTAAAAGTATTAATTCTTTCAAAAAACACAATCTAAAAACAGACCCCATACTTCTGAACTGCAGTGTACACTACCGTTCAAAAGTTTGGGATCAGTAAGACTTGTAATGTTTTTTAAAGAAGTCTCTTATGCTCATCAAGGCTGCATTTATTAGATCAAAAACACAGAAAAAAAAAACAGTAATCTTGCAAAATGTTATTACAATATAAAATAATAGTTTCTATTTTAATATCCTTTAAAATATAATTTATTTCTGTGATGCAAAGCTGAATTTCCATCAGCCATTACTCCAGTATAAAGTGTCACATGATCCTTCAGAAATCATTCTAATATGCTGATTTATATTAGAATTATCAATGTTGGCAACAGTTGTGCTGCTTAATATTTTTTTGGAAACTGCGATACTTTTTTCGGGATTCTTTGATGAATAAAAAGTTAAAAATATTAGCATTTATTCAAAATATAAATCTTTCCTAACAATATAAATCTTTGCTATCACTTCTTAACAATTTAACACATCCTTGCTGAATAAAAGTTTTAATTTCTTTAAAAAAAAAAAAGAATTAAAATTTACTGACCCCAATCTTTTGATCTCTAGGGTATATTGCATTTAAGCAGAAGCTTTCAAAAGCTAATGAGAAATGTGAGTGTGTTTTCTTACTGGACCATGAGGGAGACGTTCTCATCCAGGTAGCAGGAGTTGAATTTGACCAAGTTCACGAGCACATGCAGGAAATCTGATGACAGACCGATGTCCATCCACAGCAAAACAAACCGAGCTGACACATACAAACACGTATTACAATCTGCATATGATGCTACACAAACCGTTTATACAACTGTTAAATATCTTCTTGGAGAAAGAAAGTCATACAGGTGAGCTGTAAATGAGCTTCTTTCTTCTCTTGAACACAAAATTAGATATTCTGAAGAATGCTGAAAACCAAACAGCTAGCCTTTGACTTCCATAGTATTTTTTTTTCCATACAATGGAAGTCAATGGCTACCGACAACTGTTTGTTTCCTAACATTATTCAAAATGTATTATTTTGTGCTTAGAAAAGAGAGAAACTCATAAAGGTTTGGAATGACATGAGGGCGAGTAAATGATGACAGTATTTCCCTTTTTAGGTGTGCTATCTCTTTAAGAACACCAGGATGAATCAAAGCATGCGTGAACCGTACCGATCTCCTCCTCTAGGTAGGTGATGTCTTTCCCGTTCTCCGTGAGGGCCTTGAACACCTCCAGTCTCTCGGCCAGATCTTCATTTGAGGGCTGATAGTCCAGAATGATCTTGAAGAAGTAGGCTCTGAGCGGACCCAAGCGCTCACCCTGCACAAGAAGATCATGAGGAAAACGTGAGTGGTGTTTGCCGCCACACTGCACTGTGTTGCACAAGGAGTTCAAAATGTGCACCTGTCCCTGTATAATGGCTCTCAGCAGCACCAGCACTGCATGATGGGCTTCAGGCGGCTGTTCAGGCTGCATCATGTCCTCCACGGCCTTCCACACGGCCTCCACCGCATGCTGAAACACACACAACACACTGTAGATCTGCTCATATGTGACTCTGGAGCACAAAACCAGTCTTAAGTCGCTGGGGTATATTTGTAGCAATAACCAACAATACATTGTATGGGTAAAAATGATAGATTTTTCTTTTATGCCAAAAATCATTAGGATATTAAGTAAAGATCATGTTCCATGAAGATATTTTGTAAATTTCCTACCGTAATTATATCAAAACTTTATTTTTGATTAGTAATATGCATTGCTAAGAACTTCATTTGGACATCTTTAAAGGCGATTTTCTCAATATTTAGATTTTTTTTGCACCCTCAGATTCCAGATTTTCAAATAGTTGTATCTCAGAATAATATTGTCCTGTCCTAACAAACCATACATCAATGGAAAGCTTATTTATTTATCCAAAACTTATGACTGGGTCACATATATGAGCAGGCAGATGCTCCTCACCTCCTCAAACTTCTTGGATTTGGCGAGATCGCACACGTGGTTGATGACTTTGATCCGGTGGTGGAGGCCGTACTCTGGAGTGAGCTCCTGAACGATAGAGAGAGAGAATACATGAGAAAGACAAGGTCGTGGAGAAGTGTAGATGGTGTGAATGATTATTGGAGTGTTTCTGACCATCAAGATGTCCAGCGTGATGATGAACTCTGACGGTTTGCTCTCGGTCTGTTTGCTGTGAGGCCGAGTCGGACCGAGCCCAAAGATCCCCTTGACCCGGTCCCGCAGAGACTCTTTACTGGGCTGTTTATTCATCTTCACTCCTGCGAGAGACCCTGAATGAGAGAATGAGAGATACTTCAAACCTCCTGCAGCTGGAGATACAAAAAAAGCACAAAAGAGGGTCTGTAGGCTGTTCTGAACTAAAAAAAGAAAATTGTAAAAAATATTTTAAATATATATATTTTTATTTCTGTTATTTTATATTTTTAGATCTAGAATTAAAATAATTTTAGAATTATCTAAAATAATGTACATATAAAATTATTTTTAAAATAATTATTACAAAACTTCTGCTTACTATATTTTTTCACATTTTTAACTAAATATTCTGCTATTATTTTTATTGTAAGCTTACTGGGTTTTTTTTCCTTTCTTTCTTTCAAACCAAATCGTTTTTTTTTATGTATCTTAAAAAATTACAAATAAATCATAAATTCAGTATGTTTTAAATATTATATTTATTCTATTTTAAATATTTTACCTACAAATATGTATTTTTTATTATGATGACATTTAATGTTATAATATTTCTCACGTAATTAAAGAAAGATTACACATATATTGAGGGTCCCAGGGCCCCTGAATGTCTGGTAGTGGGTCCCTGGGTCATCTTTCATATGTATTTTTGGGGTCTCTCTGTGGCATGTCATTATTAGTACCTCAGGAGATTTGAGCACCTCAGCTCCTCAAGACCTCAAAACACTTCTACTAAACCATAACTCATTTGTAGCATAAATAACAATCTATTTCACTGATATATCGTCTCTTTTGACATGAAAACATTGCACATTAGTCAAACGTCTGACACCTCGTGACAGTCCACTTCAGTTCAGCCCATGCACAAAAAAAGCATGCATTTAAAAATGCACTAATTGACTGTGACAGAGACAATACCTGAAAATAAACACGCCAAATAAACCGTGTAAATACACGCATATCTCCGATGTGGTAACATAAACAACACATAAATAAATAAATAAACCAGTATCAATCCATAAACAACATGCCAATGCAACAAACAAACACACTGTTAATTTACCGTCTGCGGATGATGGAGGTGGGAAGATATCGAGAACATATAACTAAAAGATAAAACTGAATCGCTCCCGATTTATGCATTTATTTGTCACGCAGTGTCTCAGCCAACAGAAGTGCCTCTGCTCTCACCAGCCCCTTTACTGCCCCCCGGAAGTCATACTTAACACACGGGCATGAACTTCCTACAAAAACACGTCACGTGATCACTGACTGCAGGGAATTGTAGTTCTAAGAGCCGCGAGCGCACGTTCACTTTACAAGCGCTGGCGGTGTTAAGAAACTACACGCGATAATCGCTTATGAAACTGACGAGTCTGACTCATTTCCGCGAATCGGTTCTTTCGAACAGTTCGCTTTGGATGAACTCGTTCAAGCAATCGATTCAGTGATTCGTGGGATCCGTTCACTGCGATTCAGACAATTAATTGAAAAGATCCGGCTCAAAAGAATTGATTCATTCAGGAGTCGGACATCGGTATCGACAGCATGGATAGGGATGTTGTGTCCAAAAGGTTTGTTTTTAGCAAAAACTGAGGTTATATTTGTGACATTAAGTCAGGTAATGTCATCTAATGTTGGCGCCAGTCCGGAATTTGTGTGTTTAAATATATTCATTCGTTTGATTGTAAGAATGAACTCTCCATATTTCACCGAATCAATAGCTGTATTAGACACTTGTGCGACTGAAACTATGGTGAAAAGTGATGTAAATAAAGGAGGAATTCGCAGATTGAGATCCAGAATGGCTCAAGGGCTCAGATCAGAAGATGGTCCTCCAAAAGTGAAAGCAGAAGTTCACGAACAGAGCATTTCAGTTGCTCCACTGCAAACACATGCAGAAACTCCTGCAGGTGAGACTAACTACACAGGTGAAACTACATTTATTTACAAATATTTGATGTAATTTCTAATCATTTTCTATAATTTTTTCTATAATTATTTATTTTTTATATAATGTATGTTTTTAATATTATTATTACTATTTAATAGTCTTTTATTTTGTACAGAGACTTTGTCAAGTTGCAATAACACAACCACAAAAGTGAAAAAAGAAGCAGATCAAGTCCAAACGTATGAGTTCAAATATATGTTTATATAATCAGAGCAACAGATTTCAACAATCAAAAACTCACAAACTTCTTCTCAGACAAAGGTGAAGTACATCAAACATGCCACGGCTCTGATCCAGCAGGAGTTTGGCGGAGACATGTTGGAGGGTCTGATGCGTCTGCCGGGCGTCGGCCCTAAGATGGCCCACCTGGCCATGGACATCGCCTGGAACCGGGTGTCCGGCATCGGTAAGGCGGAAGTTAAATTGCTGTCTGTTCTGATCTGATCTGAATCATATTGCTATAATTTTTCTACCCAGGCAGACATACAGATTTGGTGAACAGTCAAAGAACATTCTTGCGACCAACATTCTACATTAGAACACCATAGCAACATCCTACATTCCTAAACATTTTTAGGAATTTTTTTAAGCATTGTCAAGTCAAAATTTCAAACGTTAAAAGGGGTCATATGATGTTGCTAAAAAGAACATTATTTTGTGTATTTGGTGTAATGAAATGTGTT